CCCCCCCCGTTTTCATGTGCACTCCTGAACGCCCGATCGGTGTGCAACAAGCTTACCGCCATCCACGACCTCTTTGTTTCCCGCTCTCTCAACCTCCTAGCGATTATGGAAACCTGGATCCAGGCCACTGACTCTACCTCCCCTGCTGCACTCTCCTACGGAGGTCTCACCTGGACCCACTCACCCAGGCCTAACGGTCGTAAAGGTGGTGGGGTTGGTCTGCTCCTGTCACTGCAGAGCACCTTCCGAGTCCTCCCAAACCCCCCCTCCCTATCCTTCTCCTCCTTCGAGGCCCACTGCGTCCGACTATTCTCCCCAACCCCCCTGAAGATTGCTGTGATATATCGGCCTCCTGGATCCATATCCCGCTTCTTGGATGACTTTTGCTCCTGGCTACCCTTCTTCCTCTCCTCTGAACTACCCACCATAATCCTTGGGGATTTCAACATCCTTGTCAACCTCAACAACCCGGACACATCCCATCTCCTCCACTTAACCTTCTCCTTTGCACTTGCACAGTGCATACAATCCACCACCCACTCCAACGGTAATATCCTTGATCTTGTCTTCTCCAACCGCTGCGCTCCCCACAACCTCACTAACACCCCCTTCCCTCTCTCTGACCACAACCTGATCACTTTCTTGATCTCCTCATCCTCCAACGCCTACCCCTCCAAATGTCACACTACTACCAGCCGTAACCTCCGCAACTTTAACCCTGCCCCCCTCCACTCTGCAGCTGATCAACTCCACGACAGCATCCTCCCCCTGTCTTGCCCCGACTTGGCTATGACCGCCTACAACAACGCGCTGTCAACAGCCCTTGACTCACTAGCGCCTTTAACTACGCGCAACATCAGACCCCGACCGCTCCAGCCCTGGCAGACTGATCACACCAAAACCCTCAAACTACACAGTCATGCCCTGGAGCGACTATGGCGCAAAACCAAATCCCAACAAGCCTTCACACACTACAAATCTGCCTTTCGCACCTACACCTCCTCCCTCCACGCAGCCAAACAGGCCTACTTCTTGACCCTCATCAAGGCCCTCTCCTCCAATCCTCGCCGACTCTTCTCCACCTTCAACTCTCTACTCTCTCCACCCCCACCTCCACCCAGCACCTCACTCACCGCCCTTGAGATTGCCAATCACTTCAAAAACAAGATTGACACAATTTGCAAGGACATCGCCGCAACTCACACGCCCTCTCAACCCGTGCCCCCTCTCACACAGCTACCCCCTCATCCTCCCTCCCCCTCGACATAACCCACAGGGACTTTGTCGCTGCTCAAACTCCCTCCAACCCCGTTCTCCCTCACTTAGCTACCCCCTCATCACCCCTCTCCCACAGCCCCACCACTGCTCTGACCTCCACTTCCACCCCCCTACATTCCTCATACTGAAGCTCCCCCAACACTCCGCACCTTTGACCTTACTACCATCGAGGAAGTCTCCAAGATCCTCTCTGATGGCCGCCTCACCACCTGCCCCCTCGACCCTATCCCCTCACAACTCCTACGACCTCCCTCCCCCTCCATCCTACGCTCCCTCACCCACATCTTCAATCTCTCCCTCTCCTCAGGCATTTTCCCCTCCCCTCTGAAACATGCACACATCACCCCATACTTAAAAAGCCCTCCCTGGACCCCATTGACCCGAATAACCTCAGACCCATCTCCCTGATTCCATTTACATCTAAACTCCTGGAACGCCTCGTCTACACCCGCCTATGCTCTCACCTCAACGACAACCACCTCCTCGATCCCCTACAGTCCAGCTTCCGTCCCCTACACTCCACCGAAACCGCCTTACTCAAACTCTCCAACGACCTGCTAACCGCCAAAGCTAATGGCCACTATTCAGTGCTCTTACTCCTTGACCTCTCTGCGGCCTTCGACACAGTTGATCACCCCCCTCCTCCTCAAAAAACTACACTCCCCCAGCCTCAGAGATTCTGCTCTCTGCTGGCTCTCATCCTACCTGTCACAACGCTCCTTCAGCGTTACCTATAACGCTACCACCTCCCCCTGTATCCCCCTCTCTGTTGGGGTCCCTCAAGGCTCTGTCCTTGGGCCCCTTCTCTTCTCCATCTACACCTGCTCCTTTGGCCAACTCATACACTCACGGCTTCAACTACCACCTCTATGCCGACGACACACAAATCTATCTCTCAACCCCCCACCTCATCCCCTCGGTCTCTGCCCGAATCACACACCTACTGAGCGACATATCAGACTGGATGTCGCTCCACTTCCTTAAACTGAACCTCTCCAAAACCGAGTTTCTTGTCTTTCCCCCAGCCCAGACACCACCCCCCATTGACTTCTCCATCACATCCAACAACGCCACCATCAAATCCGCCCCACAGGCCAGAGTATTTGGTGTCATTCTGGACTCCAACCTATCCTTCCAGCCCCAAGTCCAATCTTTAACTAACTCATGCAGACTCCACCTCCGCAACATCGCCAAAATACGCACGTTCCTAACCCCAGAAACCACTAAACAGCTCATCCACTCCCTCATCATATCACGACTCGACTACTGCAACTCCCTCCTCACTGGTCTGCCTCGCCGCTGGCTATCCCCGCTTCAGTCGATCCTGAATACGGCTGCCAGACTCATTCACCTTTCCAACCGCTCCGTTTCCGCCACCCCCCTCTGCCAATCCCTCCACTGGCTTCCGATTGCGCAACGGATCAAATTCAAAATCCTAACACTGATGTACAAAGCTGTCCACCATACTGCCCCGAACTACATCACTGACCTAATATCCAAGTACCGCCCAGCACGCACACTCCGCTCCTCACAAGATCTCCTTCTCTCTAGTTCCCTGGTCTCCTCCTCCAATGCCCGCCTCCAGGACTTCTCCAGGGTGTCACCAATCCTCTGGAACTCCCTGCCCCAACCCATCAGATTATCAGCTACTCTCCTCTCCTTTAGGCGCAACCTGAAAATCCATCTCTTCAGGGAAGCCTACCCCACCCCCTGCTAACTTGCCGACCTCCTCCACTCTTCCTACCACTCCATCCCCCACAGCTATCTCCTCCTGTTCCACTATCCCCTCCCTTCTAGATTGTAAGCTCGAAAGAGCAGGGCCCTCAATCCCCTCATGTTTTGCATTGTATTGGTATTGTTCTGTCACATGTTCTGTCCCCCTTTGTAATGTACAGCTCTGAGCGAACTATTGGCGCTTTATAAATACTGTTAATAATAATAATTTAGGGCTCCTGGACCCCCTTTACAACCTCCAAATATTGCCACCTCTAAGATATAGAAATTCCTCCGATTCCTCCCCTCGCCGACTCCACCAGATTCCAGGAAGAAGAAAAAAACGAATAGTGTAATACCGTTATAACTCTCACTCTTAATTAGCTTTAAACCAGACCACTCACATTTTAAAAGGTAATAACCAGCATTTATTGTAGATAAACGAATTTTCCACAGTTCCTGTAGCAAGACCTCACAGCCAGGTACACAGCAGGATGACAGACCTCAGAAAAAGCCTCCTCCACTAAGCAAGATGGCCACTTGAAACGCACCGCCCGGCATGCGTTCCACTCACTGGAAATGACGCAGGACGTTGGGACAGCCAGCTGGAAGTACGTAAACGCGTTTCACCCCACCCACAGGGCGTTCTCAAGACCAACGCGTTGACGTACTTCCGGCTGGCCGTCCCTACGTCCTGCGTCATTTCCAGTGAGTGGAATGCACGCCGGGCAGTGCATTCCAAGTGGCCATCTTGCTTAGTGGAGGAGGCTTTTTCTGAGGTCTGTCATCCTGCTGTGTACCTGGCTGTGAGGTCTTGCTACAGGAACTGTGGAAAATTCGTTTTTTATCTACAATAAATGCTGGTTATTACCTTTTAAAATGTGAGTGGTCTGGTTTAAAGCTAATTAAGAGTGAGAGTTATAACAGTATTACACTACTAGTTTTTTTCTTCTTCCTGGAATCTGGTGGAGTCGGCGAGGGGAGGAATCGGAGGAATTTCTATACCTTAGAGGTGGCAATATTTGGAGGTTATAAAGGGGGTCCAGGAGCCCTAAATAATCCTGAAAGGCATTATACTCACCAAATATCTGGTGAGTGCGGTTCATGTTGGTTTTGCACTGGTGGATGGTGGAAGGATTACTATTGGCACTGAAGAATTTTATGAAAATATAAGTTTTTTTGGTCACTGGACGTTTCTTTGTATGTGTCACTGGACTTTTTGTTTTTTGTATGTGTCACTGGATTTTTTGTTTTTGACACATATTAAATTGTAATATTTTTATTAATATTATTTATAGGATAAGGTATTTATTAATTTTTTTCACATATACTGATTGATTTTGTGTTTTGCACTGTTTTTTAAGTTGATAATTTTGTGGTTTTATACCTGTGTACAGCGGCATTTCACGTAAAGAGTGTGTTAGGAAGGTGGTCCTGGGCGCTGTGGTTCTTTTTTCTTGTATTCAAAAGTATTGGTAAGCCTGCCTTTACACGCACATGAACTTTAATGGCATCCCAGTCATAGTCCGTAGGGTTCAGTATTGAGTTGGCACACCCTTTGCAGCTATAACAGCTTCAACTCTTCTGGGAAGGCTGTCCACAAGGTTTAGGAGTGTGTCTATGGGAATGTTTGCTCATTCTTCCAGAAGTGCATTTGTGAGGTCAGGCACTGATGTCGGACGAGAAGGCCTGGCTCGCAGTCTCCACGCTAATTCATCCTAAAGATGTTCTATCAGGTTGAGGTCAGGACTATGTGCAGGCCAGTCAAGTTCCTTCAACCCAAACTCGCTCATCCATGTCTTTATGGACTTTGCTTTGTGCACCAGTGCGCAATCATGTTGGAACAGGAATGGGCCAGCCCCAAACTGTTCCCACAGAGTTAGGAGCATGAAATTGTCCAAAATGTCTTGATACGCTTACGCCTTAAGATTTCCTTTCACTGGAACTAAGGGGCCAAGCCCAACCCCTGAAAAACAACCCCACACCATAATCCCCCCTCCATCAAACTTTACACTTGGCACAATGCAGTCAGGCATGTACCCTTCTTCTGGCAACTGCCAAACCCAGACATGGTCATCGGCTTGCCAGACAGAGAAGCATGATTCGTCACTCCAGAGAACACGTCTCCACTGCTCTAGAGTGCTATACACCACTGCATCCGGCGCTTTACAGTGCACTTGGTGATGTAAGGCTTGGATGCAGCTGCTCGGCCATGAAAACCCATTCCATGAAGCTCCCTACACACTGTTGTGCTAATCTGAAGGCCACATGAAATTTGAAGGTCTGTAGCTACTCACTCTGCAGACAGTTGGCGATGTCGGCGCACTGTGCGCTTCAGCATGGGCTGAACACTTTGTTGTTTTACATGGGCTACCACTTCGTGTCTGGGTTGCTGTTGTTCCCAGTTGCTTCCACTTTGTTATAATACCACTAACAGTTGAATATGGAATATTTAGTAGCAAGGAAAGTTCATGGATGGATTTATTGCACAGGTGGCAACCTATCACGGTACTATGCTTGAATTCACTGAGCTCCTGAGAATGACCCATTCTTTCACAAGTGTTTATAGAAGCAGTTTATATACCTTGTGGCCATGAAACTGATTGGAACACCTGAATTCAATGATTTTGAGGGATGTCCCAATACTGTTGGCAATATAGTGTATGTGTAATGTCTGCAATATGTGCTGTTTTACTAAAAGTTGTGACCATTTTTGTCTCCCTGCTTTGTAGGGAGACAAAAACTGGCACATCCCCTCTGTCAGCAGAGATATCTGTGTTGTTTACCAACACAAATCTCTTCTGTCATTTGATCCGAAGATTGGCAGGTCCCGCTGACTGGCATGTAAAGGGGCCAGTGACATTGCGTTTAGGTGGGAGCGTGTACGTCCCCTACCCAGAAAAGAAGAATCATGTATATATACGTGATTATGCGCAGTTGGCTGCACTGTGCAAGCAGTTAAAGACCTTCAACAGTGCTGTAATGATGAAATGGAGGAAAGCACCATTGTATAGATACAGTCATCGGTCACACTGCTGTGATTTAAAATTGCGAGATTTGTGTGCAATTTCAGGTACGATTTCTGAAGACTTTATTGCTACTTTTGAAGATTTTCAACAATTTCTTGCAATCTGCAGTGCAGTTTCCATTATATTCTATATAATCCACTTTGTGAGATATTGTTGAACCAGGGGTAATTGACCCTCCTTTGAATAATACTAGTAAAAATAATATCTTTCCTTTCCTAGTAGGTTTTTTGGCTGTGGTTGTTATACAGCTTGTAGACATTCTAAAGTGAATAATAGGAAGCGTAAAGAATTCACCTCCTCAGTAACTAATAGAAGCTATACAATTAAGGACCTTGTCACGTGTAGCAGCCAAGGTGTTGTCTATATGCTGGAGTGCAAATGTGGCCTTCAGTATGTGGGCAGAACAACTAGACCCCTTCGGGTACGATTAGGAGAACATGTTAGTGTTGTTATGAGTATGTTAATAACATAAAGAAGGGGCTAAAAAGCCATAGTGTTTCTAAACATTTTAGGAAATTTCACAATCATAATCCAAATGGTCTGAAATTTTGGGGTATAGAAAAAATTAATCGACATTGGAGGGGAGGGAATTTTGTAAGACAACTTAGTTGTTATGAATCTTTTTGGATGTATGAAACTGGGGTTTTAACTTCCCCTGGGTTTAATGTTGAATTTGATTGGAATTGTTTTATCTCTGATCGATAAATTTGTTGTTGATTTCATTTTGATTTTATATCTGTTTTTGATGTAAAAGAAAGCCGCGGGTATCTTTTTATATATGATTTTTACATATGATCTTATTTTAACTTTTTTTTAAATATGCCCAATAAAATTTCTTTGTGTGATTTTAGAGCGTCCCCTATGATCAAGGGAGTTAATTGTGCCCTATGGGATCACCACTGGTCACTTCCGATTCAGGTTTTGTTTCACTTATAATTGTACATATAGATTCATTTTTATTTTCTGGAACTCTATCCTGTCCTGGCTCCCAAAGGTATTTACCACCATCTCTGATATGTTTGGAGTTATTGGTGGTCCGTGGGTTGCCACGGCAGCAGTGTTTACTATTTAGGAAAACAAAAAAGTTATAGTTGCATAGCACTAACAACCAAAGTAGGTAAGGACCACCCATGCAATATAGCTCACGTGTGAAACCACATATTTGTATTGATCCCATTGTGGGGAAAAAAAGGTTATATACGTTAACAGTGACACACACACCCACTGAACACATAATTAAAAACAGCGAAAGGTAAGCAATCCGGATTGCAATGCGTTAATAATGGAGATAGTCAAATTGATTGATGTGAGATTATACAGCACTGGTATGTTCCATGAGGAACTATAGCAAAACAAACAGGTCATAACTAGAGTCAAAAATAATAATGTAAATTCTTAGCTTTCACCAAGCAATACAGGTCAAATGATTTGACATATGTCATGACATGTAAATTACCCCGGACATGTATGGAGCAGAGAATAGTGTTTCGATTCTCAAGAATTGAACCGGTTAAGTGTCCCGTGATAAGAAGATGTAAATTTTGACCATGGAATTATACAGTGTTGAAGTAGTATCATACTGTACGATGTAAGATAGTTTCAAGTCACATATTGTTGGGCCATGAAGGCAAAAAGTATATATCCAATAACGGTTTGATTATAGTCATGAAGTGACACAGCGTGGAAATTGTGCCGTATTGTTCCATACACAAGTGTAGTTCTCCACGAAGGCCAGTTCCCCAACAGGATTTAGTTCTCTGCTCCATACATGTCTGCGGTAATTTACATGTCATGACATATGTCTAATCATTTGACCTGTATTGCTTGGTGCTCAACAATAGGTTACCCTGCTTATATTTAGTGGTAAATCTTCCTTTTTTGAACGAGTTGCTATTTAGGAGATTGTTGTCACATGTACCACACAACCAGTACTTGCCAGATATTTCTGCAGCTCCTTTAATGTTGCTGTAGGCCTCTTGGCAGCCTCTCAGACCAGTTTTCTTCTCATCTTTTCATCAATTTTGGAGGAATGTCCAGTTCTTGGTAATGTCACTGTTGCGCCATATTTTCTCAACTTGATGATGACTGTATTCCATGGTATACCTAATACCTTGGAATTTCTTTTGTACCCTTCTCCTGACTGATATCTTTTAACAACGAGATCCCTCTGATGCTTTGGAAGCTCTCTGCGGACAATGGCTTTTGCTGTAGGATGCGACTAAGAAAATGACAGGAAAGACCTACTAGAACAGCAGAACTTTATTTGGGGTTAATCAGAGGTACTTTAAATGATGGCCGGTGTGTACTGACTCCTATTTAACATGATTTTGAATGTGATTGCTTAATTCTGAGCACAGCTATATCCCCAGTTATAAGATAGTGTGTACACTTGTGCAACCACATTATTTTAGTTTTTTTTATTTTTACTTCCCTCCACCTAAAAGATTTCAGTTTGTTTTTCAATTGAGTTGTACAGTTTATAGGTCACATTAAAGGTGGAAAAAGTTCTGAAATGATTTATCTTTGTCTAATTTTTTTACATCACAGAAACCTGACATTTTAACAGGGGTGTGTAGACTTTTTATATCCACTGTATATTGTGAGAAACTGGCTGTTAAGATTGTGGATGGTGTGTATGTGTCACCTAGGTTTCTCTATAACACATGGTGAGGTGCTCCAGGGTTTATTAATCGCTTGCCAACCGCCCACCCACGGATGGGCGGCAACTACAGGCAAAGGGACATTCAGGCAGTGGGTGTGCAGCGTTCCCCACCCGTGACACACTGGATGAAGATGAACGGGATCATGTGATTGCTATCCGATCACATGATCACAATGTTAGCAAAGCTGTTATGAATCAATCTGAATATCGCATTTTTAATAATTAGGGAAGATCTTAGAAGAGTGTCTAGACCTTTGGGACCACAGAATAGTCACCACACCCTGGAGACACTTGGGTCCTTAATTTATGAGTTTTCATCACCACCTTTATGAGGCTGACTATGGCAAGAGGTAGTATCCTCTGACCATTCTCTTTCATTCATAAAGGAGTAGATAAAAAGGGGGATGCTTTCTGCAACCCATGTGACCTGTCCTGTTGGGTTGAGGCCTGGACTTACAACCTGGATAGTTAAGAAAAAAAAAACCTGTTAAGCTCAAGCAAATGTAAATTGAGAGTTTAATAAAAGACCACATAGATGAGTTCTTGCTGGAAAAAAATATTTTAACCCCTTCACGCCTAAGGGTAAAACAAAGCTAAATGCCTAAGCACAATTTTGAAACGATGACATGTGTTAGTAAAACTGTACATATCATCACAACTACTTTGTACATCCAGGTGAATTATACCTTTTTTTTCAATCAGGCTTTCATTTGGTGGTAAATGGTAATGGATATCTCCTGATTTTTTTTATTATCAAAGGAGAAATGGCCCAAAATAATAAAAAAAAATTTTTTTTATTTAGCTGTGTGTTTCTTGTTACTATCATAACCTACCACCAAAGAACAACCCAAAATAAATTCTCCAGCTCTTGATGATCGCAGCGATACCATATATGTGTATGCTATCAGTAGTGTATTTAGATTTTGTGCTGCCCTAGGCAACACAAAATCCTTGCCCCCCCCCCCCCCCCCCCCACAATGAGAGAGTTCAATAAGTGGTGTGTATGTATGTATATATGATTCTCTCTCTCTCTTTCTCTCTCTCTCCCTTTCTTTCTCTCTTTCCTCTCTTTCTCCCTCTGTCTCTCCCCCCCTCTCTCTTTCTCCCCCCTCTCTCTTCCATCTCTCTCTTTCTCCCTCTCTCTCTCTTTCTCCCCCTCCCTCTCTTCCCTCTCTCTTTCTCTCTCTCTTCCCCCTCTCTCTCTCTCTTTCTCTCGCTCTCTCTCTCTTTCTCCCTCTCTCGTCCTCTCTTTTTTTCTCCGTCACTTTCTTGCTCTGTCTATCTCCCCTCTCTCTCTTCCTCCCTCTCTCTCTTTCTCCCTCTTTCTCTCTTCCCTCTCGTTCTCCCTCTCTCTCTTCCTATCTCTTTGTCCCGCTCTATTTTTCTCTCTCTCTTCCCTCTTCCCCCCCTCTCTTCCCTCCCTCTCTCCCCCTCTCTCTCTTCCTCTCTCTTTCTCTCTCCCCCCCTCTCTCTCTCTCGTCCTCTCTCTCTCTTTCTCCCTCTCTTCCCTCTCCCTTCCCTCTCTCACTCTCTCTTCCCTCTCTCTTTCTTTCTCCCTATCTCTTCCCTCTCTCTTTCTCCATCTCTTTTCCCTCTCACTTTCTCTCTTCCTCTTTCTCCCTCTCTCTCTTCCCCCCTCTCTCCCCCCCTCTTCCTTGGATTGTATGGGACCACCCCCCCTCCAAGGGCTGCTGATCTCCAGGCAGCAGGAAGGGGGGGGGGGGGGTGTGCAGTCCCATATGATCTGTCAGTGTGTAATCTGCTGGATGGATGACAGGAGGGAGAGCCCACAGCTCACCTCCTCTGGGCTCTTTCCTCTCCGACACTTAAGTCCTGGCTCATCAGCTGCTGGAGTGAGAGGTACACGACCGTCGGGGGGGGGGGGGGGGGTGACCCC